AAAGGAGCGGAGGTCCTGCTAAGATGGTGACAGGAATGTCCTGTGAAAAAGGAAAGCCTGCCTTCAAATCATTAGTGAGGATCTCCAGGCCGTATGGAAGGTATTAGTAGGAACAAAGCACAAGAGTGCAACATCTATAAGGGAAGCTATGTGACCATCTCTGAGGTGGTCAGCCACTTTGGAGGGGTGGTAATTTTCAAGAAACTGTGCTTTTGAGAAGTTCAACTATCTTTGAAAGACTCCTGATATCTATCCTGAAACAATCTGGATCCAGTGTGTAAGAACTGGCCTTATGGGGCTGTATGACTGGAGAACAAGGGGGGTAGGTACAGAATTGCACAGAGAACAATTTATTAGGAACTTCCTGGCTGAAGCCAAATGGGCAAGATCAGAGGATCCCTGGGATTTGAATCAGAAATAGGGGGATTATCATGTGGTCGAGACAAAAATGATTTCATCCTAGCTAGAATGAGCCTGATTAGACCTAAGCTAGTATTGAGGGCATTAGATACATTCCAGGTACTGACAGCCTAGGGTCTAGTTGTAAAGCTCCACATATCATCTTAATGTTTTAGGTTGTTTTTAGTATGCTGGGGACCTATGTGAGGAAAACTGACCAGGGATACATGGGACAATCACGGAGATTATGACTTAGAATGGCTTCAGCCATGACCAACAGAATCCATAAGATGCTTAACAATTTTGATTTTTGGTCACTGTTTTGCTAAAAAAACTTAAAGCATTATGTTTAGAGAAAATAATTGCTAATCTGCTGCTTTAATTGTTTGAATATATCATAAACTTAATCTGTAGGTAAATCAAGATAGTTTATTATGCACTTTTGAGTGAAAAGAGTAAGTTAGGAAAGTATTCAATATGATCCCTTATTTTGAGAAAAATATTTGCATATGTGCAGTGAAAAGTCTACACCAGGGTTTTTTTTTTTTGAGACAGTGTCTCACTGTGTAGTTAGGCTGGCCTTGGACTATGTAGCTCAGGCTGGCCTTCAACTCACAGAGACCCTCCTGGCTTAGCCTCCCTAGTGCTAAGATTACAGGCGTGGACCAGCACACCCACCAGGGTTTATTAACCTAGGCACTGTTAACATTCGGGGTGGATACTCCTTTGTTATGAAGGGATGTTCTGTGTATTATAGGATTTTTAGTAATATTTTCAGCCTCTTCTCATTAAGCTAGTGGCACTTTCTCCCTGAACTAGGACAATAAAAAATGTCTCCAAGCCAGGTGGTAGAGGTGCCTAAAGTTCCAGCTACTTGGGAGGCAGAGGTGGAGGCTTACTTGAGCCTTCAAGTTTAAGGCCAGCCTGGGAAACATAGTGAGAAACTGTCTCATTAAAAAAAAAAAAAAGTCACCACACATGGCTAACTGTCCCTTGGAGGTAAAAAGTGTCCCTAGTTCAGAATCATTTCTCTGTCCTAATATGCCTATGATGGTTAAATCAGCATATTTTCTTTTTTCCCCTCATTTATTTCTTGTTAGTCTACAATGAGTATATATGTGTACCTTCATATATCTTCTATAATAAAAAATAACTACTATTAAAACACCCTCAAACATACCATTATTTATTTTTAAAAAAATTAAAGACATGTGTTTGACCAAAGTCTTTGGGAAAATATTGTCAGTAGAAGATTTATGGTTGATATAATGTGGAGAACCAACCAAAAAAGAAAAAGAAATAGAGAAAAACAATTCTGAGATAATTTAGCTTGAATTCATCTGAAAGACGTGGGGGTAGAAATGTGTGGGCCAGAAAGACTTTGATTTATGACCAGGTGCACCCATCCATGGTGATTAAGTCCTCTGTTTAATGTTCTCATTAGATTCACCAACCCAGGAAGACAGATTTTCCTCGCTGCACTGATCTCCTTGGAGCTGCACTCAGCTGGGAGCACCAGGTACTCTCCATGGTGCAGGCTTGAGGGCAAGTTCACTTCCCTTACTCTCTTCCCTTGGGCAGCATGTGACAGTTTCCCTGGGTTTCCAGTGGTGGTATTTTTCATTCACTAGTTGTTCAAGATTCATGAGGTATGGAAAGAGAGCCACTGAGATGTTTTCATGAGGAAAATTAGCCTCATGTGGAAACAGTATGTGACATCCTAGAATGGAGAGGTGACCAGTGATAGGATGAGTAGTTCTTGTCATAGTCTCTGAGCCTTCAACTTCATAGCTCTACTTGAACCTCAGGCCTAGGCTGAAATCCGATAGAGGTTGGTAAGCCCTGGCCACAGAACACAAGATGCATGACAGCTTCCTCCCAGACCATATCTTAGATGTCACCTCCCATGAGAAAGAGCTGTCATAGGCTCATGTCTGAGCATCCAGACATGCCTCAACTTATGATGGGGTTATTTCCTTTCATAGGTTGAAAATATAAGTGAAAAATGCATTTAAGGGCTGGGGATTTAGCTTAATGGTTTCGCCGCCTGCTGCACAAGTGCAAGAACCCAAGTTTGATCCCCAGTACATGAATTTAACACACTGTATTAGTCAGTTTCACACCACTATAATGAAATACCTGATGCAGCCACTTATGCAGAAAAGGGGTTTACTTTGGCACACAGTTCTAGAGATTTAACCCCAAGATTGGACAGCCTTGTGAAAGTTTGGGTCTCTGGGGTGGATGGTACATCACGGCAGAGCTTCATGTGGGAGCCACTGTTTGTATCACAAGGCAGAAAGCAGAGACAGAGAGATTTGGGTCCCACAGTTCCCTTTGAGGGCACCTCCTCAATGACCCAAGGACCACTCACCCACCCACTATAAGTCACAGAGCCTCCTAACAGTGCCGCCCTGGGGGACAAACTTGTAACATATGGGACTTGGGTGACACTCATCCAAATTACAGCCATACACAAAAGTGATTTCAACCTAGCTAGGAGGTGCGTGGTTAATCTTAAGCCTATGGTGGGGCATCGGCGTCTCCCCTGTGATCACATTGCTGGCTGCTGCTGCCCAGCACCTGGAGAGAGAACTGTGTCCCACACATACCACTAGCCTGGGGAGAGATGAGATTCAAAACTTTAGGAACAGTCTCTACTGAATGTGTATGGCCTTTTGCACCATGAAGTTGAAAACCCCCAGATTGAACCCAAAGCTGTCAGGGACATCTGGGTGTGTGCGTGTGTATGAGCAAATCTTGCAGAGCAGTGCGGCAGCAAAACTGGAGAGGTACTCGGTACTTCTGATGTGCTTAGAATGACAAGAGATGGAAAAGCAAATCTGCATCAGATTGCCTCTTCCAAAACCAGAAAGTGTGGTTCAACCATGCGAGGATTTCAATTTGAAGCACAGAGTAGGAAGAAAATTACTAGTGTACTTTCAGATATGAAAAGCAAAGGTAGGCAAGGCCCGTCACCAAATCAAAACAGAGCCATATGTCTAAATGGTTCTCCTTCTTCTGGTGCTAAGCATATGATCTGGCAGTTAATGATGATGACAGACACTTTACATCACTCATTATGTGCAAGGCACCACTCTAGGTGCCTCTACAGTTCAACCTAAGGAAGTTGTTACTTTGATTTCACAGATGAGGAGCCTGTAGGATATAGTAGGTACTCAATAAATATTATACAAATGAAATTAATAAGCAAACTCTCATCAATTGATTGCTTTTTTCTTTCCGTAACAACTCATTCTCTCCTACTTCTGAACTTCTTTTAAAATCCATTTTACAAATTTGTTCTTCAAAACCAGCAGACTCATTTCTAGAAAGATTGAGAGGAACAGAACATTCTGATTAATATAATTATGCTCCAAATTAAATCATTTGCTCAGAAACTGTTTGGATTTGTGGACAGTCACAAAAGACCATGACCCCAGAATCCATCTCTCCTAACGGGATTGTTTGCCTGTGCCAAAAACGTAGCTAAGGAAACACTTTAGTGTCTTCCCGAAAAAGCAATAATAGATTATGAGTTCATGGCCAAAGCAAATGTTTCTTAAGGTAAACCATATGCAACTGCTATGGTAGATCTTGTAGATCTAAGAGAGCTAAATATCAGTAATTTTATAAGACTCAATTTTATAGATTCTGTCACATTTTAATGTAGTGTGACTAGAGAGTTTAATTTTCTTAACAAATAGTAAAGGAGATGGGAATAGTTGTTGGAGTTTAACTAGAAAGGTATTATTTCATGGTATACTGGCCACAGTAAATTATGTCAAATTTTAATAAACACACCCCTTCCTATTCATTTATTTCTTTTCCATGCCCTGTACTTATGCACTGATTTTAATATTATGTGGGCACAGGTTAGCCTTTCATACATATTCCAAAGAGTCTTCACACTCCCCATCCTTAGCAGAATACTGAATACTACAATAGTAACATAGTACTTCAGCTGCTGAACACCTTCTAGTTTATCCGTTATATAGATGTCTTTTTAACAACACTTTTCCCAAAATTATGTAATATACCATGAAGAAAATGTGGCATTTTCTTTTGTGTTACTTTTGAGGGACAATAAAAGCCCCTGCTAAATTATGGAGAGAACAATTTTCTGACTAAAAGAATAATCATTTATGCTCATACTCTAGAACTACTCATAAATTGTTGAATATCATCTCTTAAAGTAGACAAAGGCATGTGATATCATGAAGGTTTGTGCCTGATTTCTTCACTCTAAACCTGAATTATTATGACGGAATAGTGGAATAGTGGACTGAAGTCTTGACTTGTGACTAACTTACTGCCACCCTAGTCTATATGTATGGTATATACATATTTATATATGTATTTATTTTGCAGTGCTGGTGGTGAACCCAGGGCCTTCTCTCTAAGCTACATCTCCAGATAGCCCTTTACAATTTCTTTTTTTTCAAATTTTGAGACAGTGTCTCCCTAAGTTCACTAAATTGCCGAGGGTGGGCTTGAACTTGTGATCTTTCTGCCTCTGCCTCCCAGAGTGCTGGGGTTACACACATGCATCACCAAAGCTCAGCCATAGTGGTATGTTTCTAGGTATCTCATCATTCTCATAATCAACACATTCTGGAAAAGTAGTTTTTGTAAAATGGATGGTCTTTATGAAATATTTTGTGGTGTTACCTACACATGGTAAGTACATACCCAGAAAATAATTGGAGATTTATGATTGTTAGAAAAATAATAAACAGAATGGCCACACTACCCCCCCCCCAATCAATCCTGCAGGGCAAGCATGCATTGAATGCTGACTCTGTCTGCAGCAGAGATCAGCCCTTGCATCCCCAGGGCCCCATGGGCAGTGTGAAAGACCCACAAGCAGCACCCACCCTACAGGAGGCCAGACCAGGCGAGTGCAGGGAGCTCAGAGAAGGGCAGCCATCCTCACTGACTCTGAGGAATCTGAGCATGCTTCTTGCAGCCCTGATGCTTCACCTGTTCTCACTCACATGCCCTGTCATGGTAGGGGTTGGGCAAAGTCAAGTCTCACTTCGGTTAGCTTTCCATTGGCACGTACAGTCCCCACTCCTCCGTAAATTGCAGGACATAGTTTTCATCTTCTTCTGTCTTGGCTGGTACCTGCTCCTTGTAGAGTCTGGACAGCAGGCCTTCCTCTGTGAGACCATCAGACTCACTATGCTCGCTGCCCTCGGGGTCCTGGTCAAAGCTAGATAAGGAAGGGATACATAGCTTGCCAGTCCGAGGGTCCCAGTCAACCAGGGTCGTCGACGACTCCTCCTCTAGTCCCTCTTCTGAGGCAGAGCGCTCCTGTGCCAGGTGGTGTAAGTCACTGAGCTGAGGCCTATAGGAGCACAACATCGGTGGACCCAAGCTTGCCAAAGCTGCCTGTTGCTGAAATAATTTTCCTTGTATGGATGCCCCCTCCTGTGTACTGAACTGGTGATCTTCAGATCCCCCATGAATGTCAGTTCTTACATCACACTAATATTCAACCACAGCTTCGCCTGCAGCTGTTGTGCTGGTGAGCGACTCTTGCTTGGTCAGGGAAGTAGCTCTGGTGTTTTCCTCCGAGTTACAGAAAATTCCCACCAAATGTGGGGTGTACTCCAAGTGTTTCACCTCCACTTCCTCTGGAGGGGACTCCAAGTTCCAGAGGGGCTTGGGATCCCTGAGTTTGGATCCATCACTGCTTTTGTCCAGTCGAATCATATCCTTCTGAGGAATTTTAGAATCATCCAAAACATTGAGGGTGATGAAGTTAATCATGATTTTTTCAGCAGGCACAAAGACTCTTTTGTCAAGTTCATTTCCATAAATCAAAATCTATAAAGAGAGAAGAGAATGGCTTTCACCTTTTCACTTTGGAAAGACACTAAAAACAGCTGTTAAGTAGAATTTGTAGCGTCATCAGGGAGTTTGAATGATCTATTCTTACTAAGTCATGAAGATGAACGCTATGCTTGGAATAGACCGAAAACCTTACTGTCTGGGATTAAGGAACTGGAGATACACAGAATGTGTGTGGTGCACAGGTGGGTACTGAGCCAGTGTGAGGCTCAGGGTGTGGCTGGCCTTCCTCCACATGGCTGAAGGATTGCAGGTGAATTGCTTAATTTATTGAGCATTTTTAATTCTGAAAAGTTAGAATGTGGCCACATGAACAGTGGCAAACACTGAGACATGGTTTATGAAATTGCTTTGTTTAGGGTTTACCATGTACTTGTTAATAAGCTGGGATTACCTGAGTTACCACCTCTTTCTTGGTGACACTGTAAAATATGGGTGGGCAGGAAAATTGATATAGAGAGGGAGAAAAGTACATGGGAAGAGATGATTCTTTTCACCTCCCCCCATGCACTAATCATGCTGGAATAAGGCCAAAAAGAGAAATTCACCTGCTAATTCCTGGCAGATAGGGAAACTCTAAATCCTATCAGGGAAGCTCATTTAAAATTAAAAATTTGGTATGCATGGATGGAAGAGCCTGTTATCTAGGAAAGCATCTGTCAGTGATAAATTATGTTACCATCTTCATTGTCACCCTGCCATGTGATGATTTCATTTAACATTACAACAGGACCATCAGCCTCATCTCTAACAAAATTTTAGTTTCAAAAAAATCATATGTGGTGAATTCAACTCCCTGTGCCAGTAAGAAGCTAACTCTTACACCTAAGTGTCAGCAGAATAATAGAAAAATTTACAAGTGAAACTAAGAGGAACAAATGTATGTACTGTGAACACATCTTTTAGTAATTCCCAAGGAAATCATTTTTAATATTAAACATATGCTTCCCAGCCCTTCGAAACCTTTCAGCAGATGGTCTGGGAATATGGGGTTTATGGGGTTTATTATTTCTTCTATTTCCTTGCTTCTCCTTGAAGAGTGATCACATCCTGGCTGTATTTCTCCTATGTGTGTTTCCATTTCAAATTTTTATCTCAAGTACTCTCCTCTTTGGGACTCTTGTCTTCTCTCCTCTGAGCAAGGCCCCATTTTCCTAGTTTTTTTCCTTGTTTCTAGTCTTACTCCCCTCTAAGTTGTTCTAGCGGTAACGGTGACACTCTTAACTTACAACCCCATGGAGACTTCTCTTTGCAGACAGAATACAGCCCAAGCTCCTCAGAAGAGCATGACTTGGTCCAGCACCCAGTCTCCAAGCAGCCCCTTATCAGGAAACATACAAGTTAGCAGTCTGAAGTGTTTCTCACATCTACTTCCTTGTGTCCCTGCTTTTTCTGACTGCAGAAAGTGTCCTAACAGTTACCCTTCACATCCAAGCTCCAGTGCAAAAACTGATCCCCATGTAGGGTTTCAAGGCCTCCCTGGGAGAGAGTCAGGAACCACCATGGTGGGACAAAAGGCTGGGATAGCCAAATAAACCCTTGAGTGCAGTACACTATTCCCCTTTGTAGCATGCATGTTGCTTCCCTACCCTTGTGCTTTTCTCAACTGACTGCAGAAGCAGAATGTTCACACAAAATGAGGGAATCGTTACCAAAGAAAAAACCTAAATAAACCTTCTGGCTTCACTTTCCATTAGTAGATCTAAAAATTACTAATTTTGGAATTCACACAGCTGGGTAATACATGATTAGTTTCCCAGCAGCTTTGTGGTAGAGAACACCTTTGACATGTGGGTTTTAACAGTTACCTAGGTTACTTCTTAGGACCTGAAGGCCGCCTTTGCAGAGAACACTCTTCATGTCAGCCTACAGATACCTAATAGGTGACTAAAGTGGGATCAAAGGCTTGGCAGCTCTAGCTTCATTTGTGTTTGCTTCCTCTGCTGTCTTAATCCATGGGTCAGATGCTACTCTGCATGTAGACATATTGATCATTCAAAACTGTTTTGTACAAGATTATAATACAAGGTCAATTTGGCCTATTGGCCACTGAATCTCATATGTGTTTTCTTTTTCCTACCCCTACCCTTGTACCTTTTTCAGTAATCCTGCCACAAGGCCCAGGCCTGCCAGGCTGGGCTGTTTTACTCAGGATGTTGGCATTAGCTACATAAAAATTCAAGAGCCAAGAAGAAACATCTTTTTATTTATTTTTTAAAAAATTATTTATTCATTCGTTTGTTTGTTTGTTTATTCATTTATTTTAAGAAACATCTTTTTAAACAATGCTCCTGGTCAGTGGAAACTTACTGGACTTTAACCTGCCTCAACAATCAAAAGAAGCTTGCTTCTTCCCCTCTTTGGAGAGCAGCTTGGTTTCTCTCTTGATCAGTGCCGAGTCCTTAAAGCTGAAGACCCGATTCACCCCATAAAAAGCCTTGTCTGTGTACGTTACTCGGCTTAGTCTCAATTCTCTCTTTTCTGAGTCCAAAGATCCTGTCTGGTAGCACCCGTGACCTCAGATTCTCCTTTCAGACTGCTCTCATGTCAGTCTTCATGTATTGTTTTGAATTTCTAGTCTCTGACTAGGCTTTCACTTGCAGAAGGGCAGGGATATGACTTAATTTATTTGTGCACCTCAAGACTTTGCCTGAGCCAGTATTAAATATAAAAATTTTTCAAAGCTTTCAAATTTTTCTTTATCTTTGATCATGTTTGTGAAGCTAGTCTAGTATAGGCTTTTTTTTTTAAAAAAATCATCAACTACTGAACTTTAAATCCACTCCACCTTCAGATGGAACTCTGTCTGTCCTAGAACCTGGAGTGTGTTTTTATAACAGATATTCGCACCACACCAAGCACTCACCAAATTATCTGGGTGTTTCTCTTTGCCAACATGGATATAGCGGTAGATGGAGTAGCCAATCACAGAAAATAGAAACACGATCACAGATGTGGGCAAAACATACCACAAAATGATTTTAACCTTCAATGCTGATGTTGGATCTGTTACCAAAAAAGGAGGTAGGGGAAGGATCGGAGAGTTGAGATTTTTGTGGTAGAAAGATATTGGCAACATTTACAGGCTTTGGGCAGATCCCCTATCATACATTCAGGGACATAGTTTTCTCAACTATACATTGAGAAGCTTGAGTTAAGTGTTGTAAGAGATCTCCGCATTCTTAATCTCTCTGGACTCACCTCACGTCTTTACAGTAAGGATACATAAAGATCTCACTCAGCAGACATTTCAACATCTGTCTGGCTTTGAGATTCATGCTGAATTATATATTTGAAAGTAAAGGTTCTGATATCTGAGTAACTCACAGCTCTTCAAACCAAACAACAAATGTCTCTTGTGCTCACGGTTTCTTGACACTCATTTGACTCAGTCTTTTCCATGCATTTAGTAGAGGACACAAATGTATGACATCACCATTTGGGACACCAACAAAACTGCTCTTGTACATGGTAGGCCAGATTTTCTGGGCTGGGCTGGAGCTTGGGGATGGGTGTGGAGAGGTGGCTGAGCAGGAGTGTGCTGAGAATGAATGACAATGAGGCCTTTCCAGGGCCTGGTGTGCTGTAGGCTTACAGTGAGTGTAAGTCCATAAAAGAATGAAAAGACTCGGTGAAGGACCATAAGGTAAGCAGCCCTGGATGACCTGTGGTCCATCACACTATAGAATTGATGATGCATTTTTAAGCTCTTCTGCTGTACCTGAAAGTTGGAAATGTTAATTTTATGTGTCAACTTGGCTGGGCTGCAGTACCAATATGTATTTGGCAAAACATTAGTCTAGACGTTGCTCTGGAGGTATTTTTTTTTTAAGGTAAGATTAACGTATTAACCACTGGATTTTGAGTGAAGCAGATTACTCTTGATAATGTGGATGGGTCTGTCTCATTCAATCAATAGATGTCATTAAGTTTTTTTAAAAAAGGAACGATCTCAAAGAAGAAGGAATTCTGTCAACAGACTGCATTGGACATGAACTGCAACATGAATTCCTCACTGTTGCTGCCTGCCCTACAGAGTTGAGACTTGCCAGCTAATGCAGTTGTACGAGACAACTCCTTAAAATTTCTCACTTATCTATCTGTCTGTCCATCCATCCGTCTATCCATTCATCCATCCATCTATCCATCCATTTAATTAGTTCTGTTTCTCTGGAAAATTCTGACTAATACAGCAGTAGAAAAAAGACACAAATGACAAAAGTCCTTGAGTATTCCTTACACACTAACAAAATTGGCAAGCATGTCATGGGAACATTTTAATCCATTGGAACACTGGATATGCTTGAAAGCAGCAGAGTCACTATTCAGTTAACTGTCCAGTTACAGATGGGCAACTGCTGAGACATGGGTGGTGGGGGTGGTCAGCAATAGCCAGTGGAAAAGGCCAGTACGGAGGTCCAGCTGCAGCCTCTTCTGCCCTAAATGGTCCTCAAAGAGCATGTTCATCATGAGGTTCCACTCAGCGCCAGCCAAGGCTGCACTGTGGATGCTCCAGGTATCTGAACACCCCTAGCCTGCTTTGGGCTGCAGCTCAGCCTAGGCCTCTTATGACAAACCCTTCACACTCCACTGAGCTTATGTTGATTAAAAAGAGCCATGATAACAATGGCTGATGGTATTTTGTATGTATTAACACATTTACTGAATAAACCTAATAAACTGTCTATATTTTAGGGATTAGGATACTGTAGATAGCAGGAATGTGTTTCAAGGAATAGCCCCAGAAGAAGTAATGTTGATTTTTTAGAAAAGCAGTGGTGTCATAGAAAGGTATCTCCAAGCCAGGTCTGATGATACAGGCCTGTAATTCCAGAATTCTCAGCAGCTGAGGCAGGAAGAACACAAGTTTGAGGCCAGCCTGGGTAACTTAGTGACTTAGTGAGGCCCTGTTTCAAAAGAATTAAAAAAGTGTTGAGGATGCAGCTCAGGAAAACGGCCCTAGGTTTAATCCCTAGTGGTGGGGGTGGGGGGAAAGCTATTTCCAGTGATTTAACAGCTGGTATATCATGGGAAAGTTCAGAACCAGAAGAGGAACTCAATTATTTTTTTGTTGTTCCTTTTCCTACACGGGTGGGAAAGTGGACTCCATGTGCTAAATGGGAAATATTTAATTTAATCTGTGCTTTAGCTCTGCCAACTGAGTAAATGATTTTCACTAGAAATTCATTCCTACAATTTGGCATGGATTGAGCTATTAGTAAACAATAGCTATTAGTAAACAAACAGCACTTTCTCCAAACACAAAGATGATTTCTTCAATCTGCTTTGTTTTGCTTTTTGCTTGCTTGGCATTTCAGTTTTATTTGTAATACGGCAGGGGAACCTTCATTTTAAAGGAAAAGGTTTGATAAGGAAAGTGATTCAACAAGAAAGCCTTTCACTTTTGCTGTGTATCCATAACATTCCTTTTCTTTTCCTTGGCATAATTTCATCTTGGAAAGTGGGAGTGATGAGGAGAGAGAAAAATCAAGCCACAGATTCCTATCCATAGCTGGGGCTAGAACCAAGGAGTGGGGTGAATTGGTGAACTCTGTTGGAAGGGAGGGGTGGAAGAATAATAGGTGGAGAGCCATTTGATATAAGCAAGCTATAGGATTTATTTTCTTTCAATTTTGGGGGATTGAACTCAAGTTCCTCTTACTCTCGGGGCAGAAAGATTAAGCAAGGCCATGCCCACAACTCCATATCTCCCAAGAGGAACCAACATCCTCAACTACAGTTCCCTGGCACCCAGCTCAGAAAACATGGGAAGCAGACATCTAAGAGGAAGCAGAGAGATGCAGCTGAAGAGTGGGCATAATTACTGATTTGCCCACACCAGACCCTTGAGAGGCCAAGTGATATCTTAAGGCAATATGAAGAGCCATTTATAGTCCCAGGAGGAGCAAAACTAATTCTGTTTTAACCTTTTTTTCCCCTCTTGGTACTGGGGATTGAACCCAGGGCCCTACAAATGCTAGGCAAGTACTGTGCCATTGAGCTACATCAGGGCCCTTAAAAAACAGTTTCTTTTGAGGCATGGTCTCACCAAGTTGCCTAGGTTGGGTTTGAACTTGCCATCCTCTCGCCTCAGCTTTCTGAGTAACTAGGATTATAGGCACACACCGGCATTGCCATACCCAGCCTACAATACTGCCATAGAAAGTTTTCAGGATAATGCTTTGTTTCGCACAATAACATTGTCAGATTTTCTTGAAGATCATTCTACTTCTATTGATCACAGTGAGTATGACTTAAAGAAGGAAAAAGATGTATGTGGAGATTTTTTTTTGAAACAGGGTCTCACTAAGTTGTCCAGGTTGGGCTCAATCGGTTTTTTTTTTTTGATACCGGGGATCGAACTTGGGTCCTTGCACTTGTGAGGCAGGCGGCAGAACCACTGAGCTAAATCCCTGGCCCAGGTTGGACTCAGTCTTGGGAACCTCTTGCCTCAGTCTCGCAGAGTGTTGGGATCACTGGTGTCACCATCATACCCAACTGAATGTTCTTGTTGTTTCCCAAGGCTGGAAGCCATGTAACCACAGGAGGGTTGTTGGCAGTGGACTGTGGGATCTGTACTGAGAATCCCCTGTGGGGCCGACAACACTCTCTAATGCTGGCCACATTCCATGGCACAGCTGAATGTCAGTCCATGCATTTCAGGTGATAGCTATTTCTGCCTTTGTCTCAACATGTCTGTGAAACATGGATTTGTCAAAACCTTGTGTAAACAGCTGTACTGCCTTCTAGTTTTATTAGATTTTCTTCTTCATACCAGCTAAGAGGTTTTGAAACTTACCTTCCGAAGTACTGATACACTGCTTCTGAGAAGGCTGAGCAGGGCGCGGGGGCTCTGGGACAAAAGACTCCACCTGGACACAGTACAGAGTGTTGGGCTCCAGGCAGCTGAGCACCAGCGTGGGGCTGGTGACAAACTGGGACCACTAGAGCAGGGAATTGCAAACAGTGGTTATAGCCAAAGATCCTAGGACCACTCTGGATAACTCCAGAAGGAAATAAGACTGAGATGCTGTTTGATCCTTTCCTATTATTATAAGCTTTTATTTTTTTCCCCAGCAGTAGTTTTCAAAATACCTTTTCCTTTAGCTGGGCAAAGCATGGTTAGGAACTGGGCCAATTCTAGGAATAATTCTAAATAATAACACAAGGATGGATTTCTTACTCTGTCCTGTGTTCTTTCTAGCCTGTTTTTTAGCCTTCTTGGAGAGTGACCGATAGGTGTTATGCAGGTAAAGGCTCTTTATTAAAATGGGGTGCACTAGTGCTGTACACTCCAATAGCAACATCACACAGTTAATAGGGAGTTTCTGTAAGGAAAATCTGAAGTCAGCTATGTAAATTTTCTACACATCAGCTTCAACTGTACCTTGTACAGCCTCCATTTTGCATAGTGCATCCCTGGATTCTTGTGCAGAGGATTAAAGTATCAGGGCTGCTGGTTCCAGCCAGTGTCAGCTACAGAAAGTGGCACCCAGATTATATGCCCCATCCCATTTCAGGCTTACTGTTCTTTTGGATTTGATGTTATATACAGACACAATGTACTTCAGATTGGAGTATATTTGTTGCATGGAAATGGTACAGTCTTCTGGATTTCTTTTCCATTTGTCTGGAGCCGTCAGGACAATAGAAATGGACTTCTCATCAGTAGTTAGGGCAACCTTTGGGGGACCAGTTTGTGCTTCAAGGGGTGGGAGAGGGTATTATCATGTTCAGATGTAAAAAAAAAATCACCTTCCATAAAGCTACAATATAAACTCACTCAGATCAAAGACCTACAGCCACTTTTTAGAGGAGATCCCTCAAAATGTACTGAGTGTCCAAGTTATGCCACATCTTGAAACAATCATTTCACACACCATGACATAGTTAAAAGTCAATTCAAGCACCATGTTTACTTAGTTCCTAGTCCCAAGGATAAACAGTATTTGGTGATGGCAAATACAATCAAAAGTATTTGTAACATTCATATGACTTGAAAAGTTGGTTAAATAATGTGTTTTAGTAAGTGGAAATAATATGTTTTAATAAGTGGAAAAATTAGAGATGCAATCAGAATGACCATCAGAGATCAGTAAACTTTTCTCATAAAAGTCCAAGAGTAAATATTTAGTCTTTGCAGGTCACAGGATCTCTGTTGCAAGGACTCCACTTTGGTTATGGCAAAGTGCAGTCATGGATAAGTATGTAAACAAGTAAGTGTGGTCTATGTTCCAATAAAACTTTATTTATGAAAAGACACTGAATTTTAATTTCATGTAATTTTCACATATCACAAAATATTCTTTTGGTATGTAAATGCTATTTTAAAATACAAATACTATTTTTGGCTCTTGGCCTGTAGAAAAACAGAAAGAATGGGGTGGACTTGGCCCAAGGGCTGAAGTTTGCCAACCTCTGATTGGGCAGAATGCTGGGCAGCTCTGGGCCTTGGGAGGCCCTGTGGAGTTCATTATGATGGCCCTGAATGCATCCTTCATGGTGGAGTCAGCCTCACATCAGGGGATGGCAAAATTATAAAAGCGAGTACTAGGAAGGTGTTGCCTTAATTCTGAGTTACATCTAGGAATTAAATGATCACACTGCCAAGTTTACAAGAAGAGACTTAGTGGAGTGATCAGGATGCTTTAATCCATCTTCTGGACACACATCAATGGTTCATTAATGCACAAAGTTAAAAAATAATCTGTTGTTCCTCAAATTATATATCCTCCACTAGATGGTAAAACAAAATCAAAACTGGGTATTATGGGAACTCAGCCTTAACTTTGGATCTAAGAGAGATCGCAGAGATCCCTTGACTAAAATGTTCATGTTACAGGTGATTGTAAGGCCCAGCCAGGTGAAACACCATGGCCTGGTCACTTATCCCACTGGTGCAGAACCAAGACAAGCAGAGCCTTTTCCTCTGGGGAAAGATTATCTATGGGGCTGAGACTCATACCAGGAGGGCACATTAACTGGATAGTAATACTTGTTTAGCCCACAACTGCATTACTTACTTTCTAAAAAAGGGTAGAATCGCCCCATTTCGGTCCATTTGGAACAATTTGTTTCCCAAATGGCCTTTACTTTGGCATAATATTGGTGTTCATAGTCAGATGTTTCATCAGAAAGATCACAGTAGGTCCTACTGATATTCTTGCATTCAGGTTTATTCAGCCATCTCTTTTGCCCATATCTGTGAAGAAGGAAACTATGAATTTATAATGAGGTACCTGCTAAGCTTTACAATAAAAGACCAGTCATTATTTAAAAGCAAAAGGAAAAATCTTCTCTTCAGAAAAACAAAAGTGCCTGTCATTGAAATAAAAAAGAACCCACTTTCCCTGCTGGCAATTTTTTTTCATTAGCTGTCAGGAACATGAGTCAGAGTTTCTGTAATCATCTTTCTTTTCTACAAATTATAATGTGGATAGTACATTTTAAAGGCTTGTATTTTATTCTTATTCTTCAATTACAGTAAAACTTTTACATATGGTACGATCAGCATTCTTCTAATTTTTTAGTCCACTATGTCTGTGAGATCAAATTGAGGGGTCATTTTAAGAAAAGATAGTCACTTTATTTTCTTGGAAGAAAAATTACCTTGACATTGTCATAAAATTTAAAAATCTACTAGGAGGAATCAAGAATTTGGGGAAAATTCACTGGGTGGGTGTGCATACCAAATATGCACTTTCAATGATTATCAGAATGATTGTGATGATATTCACTAAATTTGATTTTCTTCTCCTTTATTAAAAATACAAGAGCACAGGCCTGGGGATTTAGCTCAGTGGTTCCACTGCCTGCCTCGCAAGTGCAAGGTCTTGAGTTCGATCCCCAATACCAAAAAAAAAAAAAAAAGAACAAAAAATTACAAAAGCCATAACAAATAGGGGAGGGGAATATTCTCAGCACTTCTTCGGGCAGGAGAGATGGAAGTATAAACAGTTTCAGTACCTCGATGAACTGGGGGATGAGACAGGGTTGGATTGGAGGCTATTGAAGACACTGAACCAGGGGTGTCAGGGACAAGATGACAGGCTTGATGCTGGCATGAAGGATACAGTGGTTTGGGAGTGGCAGCCTGGGAACAGTTGAGAGGATACTGCAGTGGGCCAGGTGGAAGATGTAGGTGGCTTGGACAAGGATAGTGGCAATGGAATGAATGAAGACACAACAAAAACACGAGTATTAGGAGATAGGTCTTGGTGATTGTATACATATAAGAGATTAGGTAATTGAAGGTGGTAAAGGTGTTAAAAATGATGCCTCTGGGGCAGGTTGGTGGAATAGTGGTGGCATTTACCGAGACATGGAGCACCAAAGAGTGGGTTTGAGAAGTGGAAGGGGAGGGATAGAAGAGTACTATATAAAATAATAAGTTCAATGTTGACTATTGAGCATGAGGTAAGATCTGTCCAAATTCGGATGCTCAGTAGGCAATGGGGTTAAGGCAGAAGGTGTGAGTGGGAGGTAGAGATTTTGGAGTCACTGGCATAAAACTGAATGCTTATACCACTGAAGGTATAAGCCTGAACAAAGTTTTCCATGGATGCAAAGGAAAATCTGAGGTAAAACTTCCGGAGCATCAAGATTTGAAAGGTGGGTACAATGTAGACTTGGAAATAACAGCTAAAGAAGGAGAAGGAAAAAAAAGAAAGTCAAGAGAAGGGCATGCCAAAGTTTAAGATGCCTTCTCTTTTTAGAATGTGGCAACAATTTTAGAAAGCAAATCTCTCCCATTTCATAAGAGCCATGTCTGCCAAAAGATATTAGTAATGCAGTCAGATCATGTTGACCAACTTTTCAATCCAAGTGATTAACCATGTACAGAGTCTTGTAAGCTTTTTAAAAACCATGCTCCATGGTCGAAAGAAAAACATTTTACATTGTGATTTACCTTACAAAACATACATATATCTACTATACAAAATTTTTTTCAAGAAAACACCAAAACTTTACTATATGCCATGCATTCAGTTATTTCCCATCTTTGCCACTCCATACCATTCCAATGCTAGTTTCATCACTCAAAACTGATTTCTTTTTTATTAGTACATGTTTGCACATACATACATATTGAATACATTCATGGTGGAAAATCAGTACGTACACATATTGCATCTTAATCCTTTGTACTTCCCTTTCTTCTCTCTCTCTTCTTCCCTATCACTAGATCTCCTTCCCATCTCCAACAGGAAGCTAGACTTTGTAGAAAACTGATTTATTGACTGACCAATGGGTCTTGACTTGTGGCTTGAAAATTATCATCAGCGTCTATTTGACTCTCCCTCCTCAAACTCCCTCCCTCTGTCAAAGGCGAGGCACCTTCCCATGGTATGTGCTAATGAAGGAGAAAATACTCCTTACTGGATTCTGAATGAAAGATATAAAATTAATCATTCAACACATATTCCAGTATGCTACTTATCCATGGCAAAATTCATGTGGGACCCCTCTCAGTGGTTTCTGTTTCTAGTAACAACTGCAAACGTCACATGCCTATTAGTGAGCTCTAAATGGTGCTCAGAATTTGCATACTATGTCTCAATGAATTATCATAACAACCCTAGGAAGGAGGTTCCATTATTTTTAACTCATTTTACAGATCAAGAAATTGAAGTTTAGCAAGATCAAGGGATTCATTCAAATTCACATGACTGATAAAAGGGATTTAAACTGCTTTTCTTTGTTTCCAAAGCTTGTGTTGTAATGCTACACTCTATTTACTGTATTAAACTCTGTTGGTGGATATAATTTAAATTGTTATTAAACTGGGAATTTCACATTGGAAGCAAACTTCATTCAAAAGTATAAAAGCATGTAACCTATCTGAGGTTACCCAGCCTGACTCCAGGGCATATTCCTGCCCACCTGCCCCATGCACAGGCATATCACAACTCTGACCTGGCAAGCTTTTAAAAAAGTTGCACACTCTAAATCTGCTCTCACAGAGCTCTCATAGAGCCTAATGATCTGCATATTTAACAAATCCTTTCTGAAAAACATAAAAATATAAAAGACAGAACAAGCTCTTTGCTCCACCTAATGGAAAAAGGTGAGAGCATGCTCACAAGTCAATTCTCTTTGCAAAGCTGGAGTCATCTCTTCCCTTAGCACATCAGCTCCTGAGAAACTCTTGGGACACAAGAATGGAGCCCTAGATAAACGAGGTCATGGTGAGTGGCTACTGAAGCCTTTCTCTGACTTTAGTGGTCAGAATTTTTTTTTCCGAAGACAAAAATGACCACTGTTTTTGTAAACACGTGTTACATATTTTCTAAAATTCAAACCAGCAAAAAACTCAGAAAACTATAATCAAGAAAAAAAGAAATCATCCTGAAACCCACTACCCTGATTTGTTATACTTACGTATAAACAGGATGATTAGACAGCTGAAGAGATGGATACAAATCAGATTACACCACACATGCTTCTAAGAAAGTAACAACTTCAGCAAAAAAAGAAATTGAAACATAACTTAAAGGAATCATCAAAGTCCAAATGTTTTATTAATACAAGATATATTAGTTTCTAAAAGAGGTTTGAAGAAAATGCTTTATGAAAAGTATTGAGAGGTGAGTTACAATAAGGAAGTATGCTTGGTCCACTATATCCATGGGTTCTGTATTTGTGGATTCAACTGTTCATTGCAATATTTGGAAAACAATATTATATTTAATATTAATACTCTTTTTTGTCACTATTCCTTAAACAATACAGTATAGTGATATCTTTTTACATAGCACTTACACTGTAGTAGATATTATATGTAAATCCAAAGATGATTTAAAGTATACAGAAGGATGTCCATGGGTTATATGTTAATATCATATCATTTTGTATAAGAGTGTTAGGAATCTGCAGATTTTCATATCTGTGGAGGTCCTGGAACCAAACTCCTGGGAATGCCCAGGGACCACTGTATTTTCACTTCAGATCACATTTAATGACTTGCTGCTATGAAAAACAGTGCACTTAGAGTTCTTCTCACATTCTGATTTGTTGCATTAAGTGTAAACATTTACAAAGAATTTCTATATCTGTATTTACCATCGCTAGTGCAGACCATCTATCTTTCTGCATCACTAAGTTCTTCTTTGGGGTTTATCTTTATCTCCATTAACAGCTGCATATCATCTTTAGTTACTGGTCTCCCCAGCTTCAGAAGGACTTGGGGGTTATCTGAGTTCCCACCTGCTTGAAAATACCTATCTATTGAATGTAGTAAGAATCTCAGGTTACACTTACCTTCCTATCAGGTGTATTCAGAGGAGAGCTGCTAGACAGAAATCCCTCTTGCCCACCCTCCTATTGTAGACAGCTGAGGGGGTTAGAAAATGTAAGGCAGTTAGGCAAGGCCCTTGGCCCTCAGCGCAGAAGACTGAGGCTCTCACTGGAGGACAAGCTTCAAGAAAAAGAACAACTACACCCACATACTTCCTCTAGGGATGAACAGTAGTGATTGATATTCTAAGTAGGTATCAATCACCTTGGGTGGGGACCAAAACCTCCCTAGCCCATTCCTTCTGGGAAATCCTTGTTTGGTCCACGCATGCTTGCTACCTGACTAGCTTCCCCATTTAATCAATATAACCTAAGTGACTATACTTGTTATAATCTTACTGGTTGATCATAGTTTTGTCTCACCTTGTGATTTCCCATTGGATCATTATTACCTAAGGGACGATGTAATCTTATTAGTTGACTGTAATTTTGTCCCACCATGTATCCCCTTTGCTCAATAAAACACCTTTGAGAAGTGGGGTGGGTGGGCAACTCATTTACTTGGTAGCCCCTCCAGTCCCTCTCAGGCAGAAGCTATCTTTCCCTCAATAAATATTCCCAACTCTTATCCTCTGTTGGCCCTAGAGTTCATTCTTCAATTTTAGAAAACACCAACTTAATATTTTGGATACCTAGCAGGTTGGGAGTTATAATATTTCCCTTATTTGGATTATTTTCCTTATTTAAGTCATTTGGAGGTCCAATATCATAAGTCCTATATCATACACACTTGATTTCTCCCTTTGTTATCAGGACCATAAATTATTTCATTTTATTAAATTCACCAGAATATGTCTTGCTATTATTTTTATTAAATTTTCCCAAACATAGCATGAATGTATTACACATAACTCTGGATAATATGTATTACCTGTCAGCCACTATTGTCAGTTAGCTATAAGATTTTTCATTTCAAGGTAATATTTTTATTTTCCAATTTTTTCCTAAGCTGTATCCACTTTTAAACATTTTCTCCTTGTTTAGAATCCCTTCTTTCACTATTCTCTCTTCTTTGAGCTTTACCTTTGGAGATCATGTTGTTCCTGTACTCTAATAAAGCCACACAGGAATTGAAATTTTTTCTTACTCCCAAGGGAAATCTTTTTAGGAACTTGTCACTTTTTTGTTCTTATTCCTCTTTCCCTCTTCCACTAATTATGGAAAGGTGGTGTGCTAGATTTTTTAGGACTAATAAGCTTTGAATGGTGCTGGCTGTTGGATGAATACGAAACAGATGGGTATAGGAGTTAGGGTCAGGTCACAGTGCTTTTCCTATTCAGAACTTTAAACTTCTGTTTAGGTGTAACTCTCTTTCACCAAACTGAGTATTCCCTCTGCTGGGGAGCCTGCCCGCTCTCAGGTGTTTCACTGCTGGAGACTTACGGAACTCACCGACCTCTCACAAGGTTGCCTTCCTGGGCTGCCTCCAGCTATTGCCACCTGCCTTCTTATCTGCACCTGTGTGACTCTAGGCTCTTCCTGGGCTCTGACCAGTCTTTCACAACGGATATGTCACTTGAACCTGATTTCTCTGTCAGGTCCTGCCATACTGACCTTCTGAAGGGCACCCAACATGGGAGAGGGGGGTTCATGGGGACTTCCTCAATTTCTAGTGGTGGGATCCTTAGATTTCTACCTGTCTAGACTGTTAGACAAGCTTCTTAGTACTATGACTCTTATGCTTGTGAAAGTATTTGCTGCTGGTGGAGCTCAAAATATGGATTTGATTTCAGCTTCTGCAGTTGATTTCTGACTACTTGATATTTGACTTGTCTGCATTACAATTTGTGATTGGGCCCTGTGGCCATTCCCATCTTCTGAAGATGAAGATTGTCTATCTGTTTTGCATTCTTTCTTGCTTGCAATGAGTTTGGAAGGACAGGTGAAAAGTAAAAACGTCCATTCACCGTTATATTTTGTAGGAAGAGCTGATAGCATGGAATTCTGCATTCAGTTTCAGTAACTGTAAAGATGTCTATAATTCCAACAAGTTTAGAAGTTTCAGAGCTGACAGATTGCCTTGTTTGCTCATCTAGAAAATAATGCTTTGGCCAAATTCTTTCCTTTATTTAAATAACACCCTTCCCCTGAACATCTAATGCTTGGCTCAATGAAATAACTTTCCTAGTTTAATACAACAAAATGTATCAAGAAAATAGCATAGAATACCCAAAACTTTTCTCTTTTTCAAAAACTTGTTTAACACCTTGGGTGGCTTATCTTTTCACTATTCACAGGAGTCTTGAGTCTTGTGTTTATAAATTAGCAAAAAGAAAAAGAATCAACTTACATGAAATACTGCACAGCGTACATAACTTCAACTCCTTGTAGACTTTCTGGAGGATTCCAGTGTAGGACATTCTTCATGTTCACGGAAAAGAAGGTGACATTTGTAGGTTTAGGCAAACCATCAGAAACACAGGGAACTAAAAAAGGAGTAGAGAGGCAGTGAAGTCTTATTGGAGGAAAAGCACAACTTAACTCCTGTAGTAGCTGGTTTTCAAAAATGGCTCCAATGACCCCCTCCCCAGCACACAGGAGGTGAGCTGCTTCCAGTGCCCAAGAGGAGGCTTTCCGGCTGAAATACCACCCCTTCCCCCAGTGCACAGGAGGTGAGCCCCGTTCCCCGGCAAAATGAGAAGACAAACAAGTCTCAAAACCAGACTTCCAGATCACCTACAGCAACCCCAAAGGGAAACGAGATAGAACACTCTGATATGCAACCACCTGGACTCCCTGAAATGGCAACAAAAGAGGATCTGGAAAAAATAAAATCAGAAGCAATTTCTCACATAACAGCAGAGATTGTGCCCATAGTGCAAGCCATGATTAATAAATCTAGAGAAGACACAGATAAAAAAATAGAGGAACTGAGAAACATGATGGAATCCCAACATAGGAAACAAATGGAATCCATAAAACAGATACAAACAGATTTCCAGGAGATTAT